CGATAGCTCCCCCCAATTGTTTATATCTTGCGGGCATCTGTCAGATTCTTCATTCTGCGGTGGGAATTCGTAGCGTGCAGTCGGCGGCGGGCGGCTTTTTTTTTATTTCGCCGAGTCGTCATCGTTGTGGACAACCTGAAATGAATAAGCCCCCTACCCGCACCCCCACAACCAACACACCAGGGCTTGTGAGGAAGAGGCCCTTGTCCCCATCGGCACGGAGACAAGGTGCTTTTCCAGGGGCGACCCTGAAAAAGCACCCTCCCAGTACCGAGGGCATGTGGCATGGTATGGCAGGGAGGGGGGCACTCGCTCGCCCCCCCCTTTCCTGCTCTGCCAGGCTTGTGCTCAGATCAAGGATCTGGTTGGGAATTTTAGGGGGGACCCCATGTTTCCCCCCCCCCCATTTTTGGGGGGGGGGTTCCTACTTAAAATTCCTACCAGACCTTAAGGGCCTGTTATGACTTTATGGGGGAACCCCACACACATGTTTTTTTTTTCAATGGGGTCCTTCCTAACATTCCTGCCAGAGCTAAAGGGTCTGGTATAGTTTGGGAGGGGGACCCCACGCTGTTTTTGTTTTTCTTTTCTTTAAAATTGTTATTATTTTCTTAACTTTTTCAATTTTTCTTTTCTTTACATTTATTTAAATAATTTTTGTAAACATTTTTTTCCCCGCTTGTTTAAGTTTTTTCTATTCTGCTCACTACTTTGGAGGTAGCGAGCAGAATAGCCGAGCCGAATCCCGCTCGGAGGCATCCAGCTATTCACTCACTGCTGTTCGGCCCCTATGAGAACCCCTTCTGCATTTTGGCTCAGCCGAACATACAGGGCATGTTCGGGCGACCGAAGGCAGCCAATGTACGGCTGATTTTAGCTGATGTACAGCTGAAATCAGCCGTACTGAGCTGAAGTGAAAAGCCCAACAACGTTTGGCTCAATTCACTTTGGCTCGTTTATTCACTCAGCTGCCTTCGGCAGCTGTGTGAATAACTCTCTTTAGATGGACTTGACTAACAAGTTAAAGCAGAACTCCAGCTGACACTTTTTTTTTAAGCAGTTACATCAACTGTTTTTATTCCTTTTGGGATAAAGATTTTACATAAATGAATACAAGCTGACCATTGTAAGCCCCCCTCTCAGTGTTAAATGGTTTGTCTCGGCACTCTATCTGCCACTTTTGCTGGACAGCTTGGCCTGTAAAGGAAGTTGAAAAATATCAGACTTACTGGTTGGATCATCAGGAGAAAATATAGGGGGAAAAAAGCCTAAAAAAAGAGAAATAATGCAGCCATCACATCTGAGGATCAGTAAACTGCAAAATACTACATTTTTGCTTTTTGGTTTTGAGATGCTAAAGTACACAGGTGCATCAATGCCCATTAAAATACATTTAAATGATTGTTTCAATCTCCTCTTCTGTCTGTTCAGGATAGTCACAATGATTTAATTAGAGGTATTGTGATCTTCCAGTCTTCCAGGTTATGTCTTCATTTAATTATTGTATTTATTAATTTCTTTACAAACACCAAAATACTTAATAGAGTTTCCCTAAAAGCTGCTTAGAATTCAGCTACTGGAAACTGATGCTTGTGTATTTCATAAATATGAGGGCTATGCCCACATCGATCAATAAGGTTATAGATCTTATTAAAGACTGGAAAATGAAACCTTAACCTAATCCTAATCCTGAGTGTACTAAGAGCAACAAACACAAGGATGTTGATATAATAAAGGAGCAGAGAATGTTCCCTTAGCAAAGGGAATGTTTTCTTAGCTCAGTGAGTATCTCCTCCTATCAGCATGATCTCTACACATCAGGTGCACATCAGTAAAGCTGAATTTTATGTGCTGCTTCTACCTTTCCAATCTGAGCTTTGCTGTACAGAGGTTACAAAGGCTGGTACCACGTACAATTCAGGTACTTACACTACTTGTATTCAAAGGTATACGGTTAATGATGTATTAATGAATACAGAGCTGCATTAAAGGATAACTTAACCAAAGAATAACAATTTTACATATTGCAGCATACCAGAAAAGTAGGGTCCATGTCACCTGAACTAAAATAGGAGTATAAAACAATCGTATCTTTCTTCCGTAAACTACTATCCCACCTCAAACTAACAACTCAACCATCACGTTCTCAAACAATTCATCCCCAAAGAGCTACCGACTCATGTAACACTTGCACCTCCCTTTTGGATTGTAAGCCCTCGTGGGCAGGGCCCTCTTACCATCTTGTCTGGAATTGTATTGTGATTTTAATATCTTCCTGATATTGTAAAGCGCTGCACAAACTGTTGGCGCTATATAAATCCTGTATAATAATAATATTTTCCCCATCACCCATGTGATAGAGATGAACAAAGGCAGACATGTTTGAAATCTGGGTGACAACCATAGATACAGTGGAAGTGTGAGTGTAGCCACCCAGGGAAACAAAGGTGTATTATTTGTTGGATTACTAGGCAGAAATAAAATGCCACCACCTTATTTGAGAACTGGTAGGCTGCAATGTATTACATTTACATTTTGGGGGGGTTAAGATACAATTAAATTTTTGCCTTTTTATATCTGCCTGGAGTTCAGCTTTAATAGCAAGTCATGCGCAAGGGAAACAAAAGTGTATGTGAACTCTAACAATGAACTTCTCTTATTTGCTCTGTTAAATATTATATTGGAATCATTTTGTTATGTCTGCTCATTTCACGTGTTATCTGGAGGAGAGAAAATGGCCCTCCCAGGCCCTATCCCGGGACTACAGAATGCTTAGCCTTTATGTTGTAGAGATGGGAGAGTAGGTGACCCTGAGTAGTTTAGCAAATTACACTGAGCAGAGCGGACACCACTCAGTCCACCAAATTGCTATGTGTTGCCAGCCCACAACAGGATTTAGGAGCTGAGTGCATTTTTGGCACATCGACAGGTATTTTTCTGTACTTGAAATGTCTTTAAAGCAAAACTACACCCTCCTATCTTGTTTGGATTGCAGATGCCATGGTGCTGCACATCTGATCAGCTATGACACCAGCCATTGGAGGGCTTAAAAGTTCAGATGAGTGGCAACTTTGAAGGTTGTCATGCTAAGTAACTGTTGTCAAGTAACTGTTTTGGGAGATTAAATTGGTGAAGTTCCTCTTTAAAGGGATAAAAGTGGATATATGCATGTAATGTAGAGATGTACTGCCTAAGTATTTTTGGTTTTTATTTGCCTTGGAATTAACTTTAAAAAAAATCAAGATTTTGCTTCCACATGATTTACTGGTTGAAGTGAACACAGCCTTCACCTTATTCCCTAACGTAAAGTACCCAAACTTTGGCCCTCCAGCTGCTGTGGAACTACAAGTCTCATTAGGCATTGCAAGACTCTGACAGCCACAGGCATGCGTTCCAGAGGCAGATGCATGATGAAGGTACTTGTAGTTTCACACACAGCTAGGGGGCTGAAGTTTGGCTACCCCTGCCCTAAAAGGAACTTTCATTTTACAAAGTGAACTCTACCTATCACTCTAGTAAATGTATCACCCCAAGCAGGGTATGGAGCAAATACTACAGACTCTTCCCACTATCATCAGAGCACCGGATATTACTAATCCTGAAACGTCAGATTCCTTCAATCTTGCAGTTCCAAAGTAACCTCATTTGAAATGTGATCCATTTAGATGTTTTGTCCAAAGAGTATATGTGTCCTTTTTTTATCTATTTTCCCTCTATTATGTCAGCCATGTTGCTTCATGCTATGACGGACATTTGGTTGGGAGTGGGCACACTGTTGCATTTCCTATGTGACTAACCAGTTTCCTCATATTACACAGAATAAAGAATGCAACGCTAGATCAAACACAGAAGAATAATATTTATGTAAGCAACCATTCATTTTTGTTTTTCATTTCTCAACAGGTTTCGTTTGTCTACACACATATCTACACATGTACCTGCATTTCTATCTACAGAGCTTGCAGAAATGAATGCTTAGTTGTGTAAGGCCAAATTTCATGGTAAATTTTTAGCACAATATTAGGAAGTTAATAAATAAGAGAGTTGCGTAATTCTGTTCAGGTCAACTAAATCCAAATTCAGGTCTTCCAGCCTGCTGTACAACAACACCGGTTTGGGTTTGTCATACATAGGTGGCTTCTTCAGATGATTTGCCAATAAAGTACGTGCTGAACATAATTTCTGCATGGAAATATTAAATAAAACCTATGTTGTCTAAGGCAACACTAAAAGTACTACTTTGCAGGTTAAAGTTTACCTTTACCCCCTTTCACTAAAAACCACATCAGCGTTCAGCTCTGCATGCTGATATGAAATCATCTTACTTTTATTAGTTAAATAAACATGTTTGGCTTTTATTTTCAATTACTGGTTTTCTACTTCCTGGTCCTCTTAGGCATTAATGATGCAGCCCATGCCTAAGAGATGCATACTGAGAAGGTTACATCACAGTGCATTGCTGGAAAATCTTATCTGTAAGCTGCAAATCTTGCAAGATCTTAAGAAAAGGCATTTTGATGATGTGCATAGTCACATATCCTATTCACATGTGCCAGAGTTCTAGGAAGTAAAGGAAGATGGATTAATTTGCCCTTAGTTAACATGGCCACTGTCAGAAGACTGGGGAAGAAAAGAGAAATAAGGGATGTAAAGAATAAAAATTATCTATAAATATCTATCTGTAGATTGCCATCACTAAACATTTCTAAAGGTGTATTTGTTGTCATTTTAAAGATAACGGTAAAGTCCCCTTTACTAAAGCTCGCGTTTCAAAAATACACTACAAATATATAACATTTGGCTCTACAAAATGCATTTTTCCTATTACCCATTGAATTATGAATTAGGTTGTTGAATGAACAGACGTATTACTTCATTTGCCTTGTCCGTGGCAGAACTGCACCAAGATGCTCACCTCGGCTTTATTTTACAGGCTTGGTAGATTGTAGAAGGAACATAAGATATACAGCAATAATTGTCATGGTTGTAGTTTAATAGCACAGAATGTGCAATCTCATTTACAATAGTGCAGCCAACACTTCACTCTCCAAAATAGTGAAAATAAAAAAGTATCTTAATACCTCACAGTTCCTTTGCCACGGAGTATACACTGAACCATACTGTACATTTATTTCCACAAAAATACAATCAAAGAGCACAGCAACGAAAGCATATGGCTTCATTTATGCAAGAATAGTGCAGCTGACCTTGCAGAAGTCAATGCCCTTTTGTAAGTAAGTCTGAAAGGTACAGTCATCCAACAGTGCAGATGAGATGGCTGAAGCTGCTTTTTTCCCGTCCAGTAGCACTGATAGAACTGAACACGTACTGAATTCCACTTTATTATTCCTAGCTTGTCACTGTGTGCACCCACTGCACAGCATCACCGCAAGTCAATGACACCTCCCAAGTGCCTTTGTTGGCAGAGCCTGTTCTTCCTCCTGACATATTGTCATAACAGCCCCAGCAGGATTAGGTGGAAGACCCGGCTTGTTTGATGGCTGCTGTCACAATCACAATGGAAACTGAAGGTCTGCCCTAATGAGTTTAGGGAGAGGGCAAGTTTAATTTCAACAGTAATGTAATATCCAAAGCATACACTACTGAACAATTAAAATCATGCATAAAACATCCATTGTCTAATAACTTTAAATAGTTGTCAGTAAAATTGTTTTGTTCCATTGGTTGTTATCTTGGCCCATATTCGTAACTGCTTGGTGCACCAGCTGTGGAATACATGTTAGCTGCTGCTGGGTTCATATGGTGATGATGGTAGCCATGTCCTCTAATGCTTGGCAAGGGATAGGGAGTCGGTCTGGTTTTTGCTCCTAAATAGTGATCGTAGCTTGTCGGGTACTTGTATGGGTGGTGATGAAGAGGTTCTGAACCTTGAGAGTGTGGGTCCAGACGCAGTTCATGGGGGGGACTAGGTCTACCAGTGCTAAGGGGCACAAGTCCACCTGGTACAGGAAGTGAAGGGCTAAGAACTCTGGACATAAGTTGCTGGTGGGCCGCGTCCCCATGCAATGGAGTGCCACTGGTATCCCTCTCATATTCTCTTCTGTTGTCTCCATCTAAAAAAGAAAGAAAAATATAATTCCTTAATATCTCATTAACAGGGAAACACAATTTCCTGGTTGTTCAATAATGAAAAACTTCACACTATAAATACTGAATAAAGCGAAAAACAAATATGTGTATGTAGCCTGCACCAGGAAGTGTTAACAATAGAACATTTTGTTTAAACAAAATCAGAGTTCTGGAAAAAAATGTTAGGTGCACGGAGATTTAATCACTGCGTCTAGCCCTGTTTGACCTTCCTCACAAGCGTTATCAGAAGTCTTAATCGCACATACAACTCCTGCAGCAGCATATAGTGTAATACTGAACAGGTACACAAGATCCTTCTCATATTGGATCACAAAAAGTAGACCATAATAGATACTGTCAGGTGCTACAATGATATACTCATACCCAACATTTGTTTTATTGATGCAAACGTAATAAAATTGAATACATATATTCTCTGTTGTAATATTTACCTATTAGTGTCTCATATTGTATCTAAGAGTAAACCCAAAAACAAAAATTTAATTTATTGCAGCTTACCAATTCTTGCATATGGTGGCTGCATTTGTTTCCTTTTTGGGCTTTTTTCCCCTTTATATATAATGTTTCCATATGCTTTTCTGAACATATGCCCTGATGGTACTGTGCCCTATTCCTTCTCAAAGCTCACATAGTCAATAAACACACCAACACATGAGGTGTGCAACTAGTGGCTTCAAATCCAAATTTCATTGGGGTTTATTTATTAAAGTGGTAAAAATTGTTCACTAAGTCTATTTAAGTGTTTATTCAAGTTACAAAATAAATAAAACAGGATTTTGTCATGTACATGACTAAGCTTACTAAACATTCTGTGCATGTTTAGTAAATCAACTCCACTTAATCTGTTTGGCGGTCCTATACAAGGCTGTATACAACACTGTTTACTTGCAAGTACAATTTTAGGGTCCTGAACACTTAAAGTCTCAAAGCTGTCTTACATCATCAAAAGTCCACCTTAATCTACAAGCAGGAATTGGAGAAGAAGTGAGTGTAGGGCATACATGAAAGCAGGACTACATCCGCCTATCCTTTACATCAACAGAAGGTGCCATTTTAGCCTCTGTTTGGATTGCAGTTACCATGGTGCGGCACATGTGATCAGCAATGACATCGGCCATTTGAGACTTGAAAGTTTGGTTGAGAGTTGAAATAAGCACACTGGCTACCTTGACAATTGGCATGCCTTAAAGTGGCTGATTTACAACACACACAGGGACCATGGGGAAGAAAAGTAGTCATCGTCCAGAAAGAAGGACAGTGTCAGCATGAATTCAGAGATGATTTGAGGATCTACAGCTGAGTGATACACAAATAAGATACATTTTTGTTAATAGTTAAGGTACTTGAATGCATTTTTAAGATTTAACTCCTGAGTTTAGTGTCACTTTAAAATGAATCATATTTGGAGACATTAAATTGGTGGGTAAAGGTCCTCTTGAAGGTACTCTTAGACATGAGCTGTTGTTGGATCATGTATCATACCTACAGATAAGAGCAAACTGTTGTTATTTCACTAGTGGATCAGTTAAACAACAATCAGTAGGGTTTGACCTTTGCCAGGTTCTCTGCACCCTGAAACCTTTTGGGTCTCACACTTGACGTCCTTCTTGCCTCAATGTTCAAATAACATATTGGGTGGAATTATTAAAGAGTGTCTGAGGCAATGTTTGTCTCAGGAGGGGTGCAGCCAATCAGCCTTTACATTTTCATGAAAGATAGAAGCTGATTGGTTTCTATAGGCAATCGCATCAGTTGTAATAGAACTTGTCTCAGACACTTTTTAGTAATTCCTCCCCATTGAGTCATTTAGACTAACTTTCCTTGACACAGTTAAATACATATATGATAGTTGTGTTAATTGCTGAAGTATTTCTGTTTTTGTCAAGTCAGTCTTGATTTTTTTACCAGCCCAGCCAGGTTGTTGACCTGACATTTTTCTATTGCAGTTGAGCACTACAACTTGGTCACCTATTGGTGTCCAGCCTGTGATTGGAATATGGAGGAGGAGCGTGGGACTCATAAGGTAATCTCCCTCCCTTTGTCAGCTCATGCACATGCAGCAAAGCCTGACTGGCCATCAGTGCTGCCCCTTTTTTATAATGTACATTGTACTATACAGGGAAGTACAAAAGGATGATAGAAAGACAGATTCTAACACTTACAGTTGCTGCAACAAATGTAATGATTTTGATTTTAGTTAATACATAACTGCTACATTGTGTTTTTATATCTGCTTGGAGTTCAACTTTGATCGCATTTTAATTCTTTAGAAAAGCTGAAAAGTTGGTACAAATTGTTAATGTTTTGTATACCTTTTCTTACTGAAAAGCAGTATTTGTTCAAACGTAATAATGCATACCTATCATAATAGTGACAAGCTGATATCAGGCAAAGAAAATAAATTTACAAAGACCAAGGTGGAGGTGGAAGAGTAAAAAATTCTCATTTGTTATCATTGCTATCTTGAATTCAATGGGTCAGATGTTCTTTCACCCTGTTAGTAAAATAAACAGGGGGCTTTGCGATTGTTCTGAACAGAATCTGCCAACAATGCAGCAGAGCCTGTGTGAATAGTAAAGCACACATTTTCCAGCACTCCGCAGTCAGAATGCACAGGGGAGGAAAAGGCAACACAACTGTTGTGAGCAAAAAAGCCTCCGATCCACATCATTGTGCATAACTAAAACCTGTGTCCTCCTGACAAGACATTATTATAGGAATGAAATTTGAAAGAAATGACTGACAAGTATGTGCACGCTTGAAATTTCTGCAAGTTGTGTAACCCTAAACAAACACAGACTGCGTTTATTTGACCAGACCCAAAGTGTGCTATACAGGATAGGCCCCTTGTTGTCTCTGGAACTGTTTGCTCTGCATAATGGAAAATAAGTACATATAGAATGTACCGCTGTGTGACACTTCGGGTCTGAAGTGTAAGTAGCAAGCAAAGCTCCTGCAGCTAAGCTCATTTACGAAAGTGAAGACCCTGCCGTGCTGAGGTCATCTAGGCAAATTAACTTTTTCTTTTGACACGTTTAGTTTTTACACTTAAAAATGGCAGGGGCTCGTGGAAGGAAAGGAACTGAGAATGTCTGCCTGTTGTTTGTTTGCATATAGATATGGTTAGGCATTGCCGAACAGAAGTGTTGGGATATATAAGAAGGCAAATGTGGACATTTTTGCTTGTGGCTACAAGTGGGTGACCAATTTTTTTAAAGACTGCTTGATTTTTATGCATCTGCATAAGGAGTGGTTGGTTCTCTGTTACCAATACGATTGGGCTGTGTTAGGTTAAGTGCACATGGGCATCATGAAATTACATATAGGTGTTTCATATATTGTTCTGAATGTTCTCCCTCTATTGGCTATCAGCAAATCAGCCTTTTTGTTGAATGGCTTTTGGGGTAAAAGGTAAGCCACGTAAAGAGGGGATTGTTTTAGTAGATTAATACAGTTTTTTTGAGAGAGAGAGAAGAGTGTCAGAGCACAAATACTACACAGTGTGGCTTTAAATAAATTACCATATACTAAAATTATTTACATTAAACTGATCACAAAAAAACTATACAGATTAGCTAATTCATTAAAAATACAAATGTCAGATTTTTTTAATCGATCATGTTAAGTGATATTAAGTGGACAGTTTCACTGTTTCTTCTTTCAAATATACGAAAGTGAAAATATACCAGATCATGTGCACACTGGAAAATGAGGTGTTTTAGTATATGAAATGCAGGTTGAAATGAAGTGTTTGATCAAATGAATACAAATAATATTATATAT